CTCAGACTGCCCAGCCCTGCCACCTACCAACTGTGTACCTTGGGCAAGTCAGTGACCTCTCTGAACCTCAGTGTCCCTATCCATAAAATGGGAATAATAGTTTGGTAAAAACAACACATAACTGCACATCATAGACAGAGCCTGCCAGATAGAATGCTCTGGAAAACCGCTAGCTGTTAGGGAGTTTTAGGATCCATGGCACCAAGGCCTAAAGCCTGGAAAGCCGGCATCAGCTTCCACACGGGATGGGAAAAGCTGCGAGAACCCCCTATCAAGAAGAGTCAGTCAAGAAGGAGGGCTGTGAGCAGAGCTTTCCCCTCAGGCGTGGTACAGAGGATTTCAAAACAACCAACCCTGCTAAATGCAGACTAAATGCCACCTTTGCAGGCTGTGAGGCTTGGAGTTTGATGCCCTCTGCAGGATCCTCATTTAAAAAGCAAATTTAAAAAAAAGCAAATTGCCCACCCCTGGCAGCTCAGACAGCTCTTCCAGCGGTAGTGCTGGAGATACCCAGGCTCTCTCCTTTCTGGAGAGGGGCAGGCTGGGGAGAACTTCCCCTCCAATGAAACCGCTGCACTCCTAGGCACTCTGCTGTAGAGTCACCAGGCCCTCCACATGCTCTTCCTCTGTTGACTCGATAACAAGTGACTCTGTGGAGGGTGATCTGACCGGTTTGGAGAGGGTAGGTGAGGGGTTAGCGGCTGCCAAAGGAGAAGGGGCTCGGCCGGCCTGGCGGCCCCACCCATACCTCAATCCAGCTTGGCAGCACCAGCCCCAACAGGCCAGCCCCGCCCTGGGAGCAATGGGCCTGTCCCGGCCCCCAGAAGGAGGAGTATCCAGTATCTCTGCGTCTGCCTCCCATTCTAACCTTCCTCCCGGCCTTCTGGTTGAAGACAACTGCTCTGCCCAGAGGTATGGCCTGGAGGGAAGGCACAGGACAAAAAGGTGGGGAAGGCAAATCCTCTCTCCACAAGCCCACCCCATGGGCTCTTTCTGGAGGCAGTGTACTTGTGGGATTCTTTGTGAGGTCCCAGGCCTTCACACAGGGAGTACAGAGAACTCTGCTCCTGTGGGGGAGAGACAGGAAAAAGCCCGGCTCCTGGCGCTCCTTTCAAAGCTTGGAAGGGCTGAGCATGGTCATTTCATTTTATTTTTTCTTTTTTTTTTTGAGACAGGGTTTCACTACACAGTTCAGGCTGGTCTTGAACTCACTATATAGCCCAGCCTGGCCTCAGACTCGAAGTGATTCTCCTGCCTCAACCTCCCAAGTGCTGGAATTACAGGCATGCGCCACCACACCTGGCTTGGTAATTATAATAAGGATTTACGAGCCCCTACTGCACCGGGCTCTGGGCTTGTGTATTACAAGGGAGCTGGGAGTCAAAGGTGGTTGTTGTGGCTTTAGGGGTCAAAGAAGTTTCCAGAGACTCTGGAAACAGCTTCCTGGGCTGGGGATTTAGCTCAGCAGCACAGAGCCTGCCTGGCAAGTGCAAGGTCATGAGCTCGATTCCCGGTAGCGGAAAAGAACCAAAAAAAAAAAAAGAAAAAAAATGGAAACAGCTTCCTGAATGAGAAGGCAGTGGGGCTGAATCTTGACAGCGGGACGGGGCTCTCCGGTGCAGGACAAAGAGTGTCTAAGTGTGTACAACCAAGTCCTCAAATCCCTGTACAACCTCAGGCAACACCTCCTGGTCTCCAGAGCTTCATGTCCCACCTGTTGGGGAAATGCGCCCTGTGGGGCAACCACACACACAGTGCACACGGCAGCCTGGCCTGCCGCAGCGTCCCAGGGACAGGAACTGTCCTGATCAAACAGCCGCAGCAACTTCCCTGATCCCAGGGACCAAGGGGATGCTTGCTGAGAGACTCCGCCCAGAAGATCCCACAGCACTCTCCTGGACCTGTGGACCTGCGGCGCACCCCCCCATATATACAGACACTGCCCTCCTTAACAAAGAAAGGGGCAGGAGGCACTGGGAGCTCAGAGGGGCTTTCAGCAGGCTCCAGTGATCACAGGGAAAGGGCACCCAGCCCTGTAACGGAGAAAGCAGGGCAGGAAGAAGGACCTCACCTCTAGGGCCACGCTAGCCCCCTCCCATACTCTTCGGGGCTTTCTGCTGCTTTTATTTGGAGGTACTAAGTGCCACGGCCACTTCTGGGGCCAGGAGGCTGACAACCACTAGTAGATGGAACCAGAAGCCAGGAGAGGAGGGAATTCTGGCCCCTGCTGCAACCTGCCCTCTCCCAGCAAGCCGTGTGGCTTCTGACCCCTCACTTCCACTCCCACCTTTCAGGTATGTGACAAGGTTTGAGGCCGGGTCTTCAAAATGCCCAACTAGTGGTGAAGCCAAAGGGTGCCAACTACCCAGTCAGGCCTGGGAAGGGGCACAGGCAGGAGGTCAGCAGAGAAGCAAGAGCAGAATTCTGCCCCTACACCCTCCCCTGAGGCAGCTAGTCCTCGAGCCTCTGCCAAAGGACAGCAAAAAACACTTGGGGTGGTATGGAGGCAGAAGGGCCTCCCTGGTGGCAGAGGCTGGCCTGGGGAGGAAGGCTCTGCGCAAACGAGGACAAGATGGGGCCAGTGGTGGTCAGAGGCTGAGGAAAGGGGAAGAGGCCCAGCTCCCCAGGAAGGAAGGGCCTGCCCCAAGGAGCAGCAACAGCTACAAGGACCGCAACCGCAGCCTTCCTGCTTTATGAGTGACTGCTGCAGCCCAGGCTTGCTGCTGAGCACTATCTGTCATTCTACTAACAGGGCCACAGGACAGCTGTGGAGAAAGACGAACAGAGATGGCCTGAACAAGTTCAGGCTCCAAGACAGGACCAAGCCGGCCTGATACTCTGAGGTGTAGCCCGAGGGAGGCAGAAAAGCTCAGAGCCCGTGACCTTGACCTAGGCAGGGCTGGGGTGGCCGAGCAGGGGGCTCAGCAGCAGCGGGGAGAGGGCTGGGACCAGGTCCTGAGCTGGCTGAGCTCCCTGGGCCCTGGGCTGCCCATACGCTCAGGTCCCAGGTCCTGGCCCTCCGGGACAGAGAGCAGAAGCTGTAAGTGAGGAGATGCCATCTCCCCCGGCAGGGCCGCAGCCACCAACAGAGTACGTGTACAAGCACTGCACCAGAGGTTGTGCCGGCTCTGGCTCGGGAGGTAATGAGGGCCTGTCCAACTGGGTAGGGAATTCTAGGCTGGAGGGGCAGGAAGGAGCTGGTATGGGGGTCACATCTAATTCTGCCCCCTCTGAGGACCAATTTAGGAGCAGGTCCTGAAGGCCCCGAGATAGGAGCCCCAGCACGTTCACCTATACTTTGAAGGGCCACAGAGAAGAACCTGCTCCAGGGCTGTCCAGTTCCCAGCCCAGGATAGCAGCGCGCAGAGGCTGTAGGTCAAGGGGAGGAGCTGTGGAAACTAACACAACCAGAAGTCCCCCCAGTCACCCGCCACACACAGCATCTGTGTGGAAGGGGCCAAGTCTACACTGCTCAAAAGCGGCCCTGCCCGGGCCACAAACTCTGGCCTCTCCCCTGACCCCTGCCTTGTTCACAGCATCAGATACCCCACAGAGGCTGGTCAGAGCTCAGTCCTAGCCTACAGGACCAAAGCTTCAGGGCTGAGAAGAGCTTCCCGGGCCTCAGCCAGCCCCTCACCCACTCAGACTGCCCCCTACCCTAGCAGAGGCAGAAGGGCCAAATGGTGCTGAGGGAAAGGATAAAGACCAAATTCTCACTTTGTCACATTCTCCTGCTGTGCCTGGGGTTCCAAAAGCCCCTCCCCCATCCCACTGTTGTATTAGTGGGCAAAGAAGTTACGTCTGGAGCCCAGCCCTGCCAGCCCAGGCCTGACCCTCCCCAAACCCACACGCATTACCCCCTCCAGGAACACCCTGGGGAGATGACTCACCAGTCCTGGGAAAGACACAGGAGCTGGATCTAGATCTCCCTACTCAGATACTTGTAGATCTTGTCCCTATAAGTCCTACAGCTTCTCCAGGCCTACACCAGGCCCTCCGCCAAGCACAATACATCATTATCTCATTTCAAGCTCACAATCCCTGCTTCTGCCCCCTGAACAAAGGTAGAAACCTGGCTTCGAGAGTCCAAGACACTCGAAGGTCACGGAGCCAGCAAACAGGGTAGAGATCAGAGCCACATCTATAGGACTCCGCACCCAGGCTCACAACTACGACTCACAATGTGGGAAAGCCTCTGGCTGTGTTTCTAGCTTCCAGGAGCCATGCTCCCTGCCACGCTCTACCCACCCAGTGTTACTGGCATGGGCTGCACATAAGCAAAACTGCCTGTGATAGCAGATTCAGAGGTTCCTGATTATAGGCCAGGGTCCTGGGCCAGAATGTGTGTGTCTTAAGCCAGAATCGGGTCAACCTAGCTCAGTGTGCCAAACCTCCAGGGAATCCGGAGCGTGATGTGGCTGAATGGTCGGCCCACCCTCTACCCGGCGAGCCAGGGTGGGTCAGGCTTGCAGCAGGACCTGCCCCTTTCAACACGGGCACAGTGACTCATTGGGAGCCCAGGGGCAGCCTCCTACCCTCAGGAACAGTGGGCATCAGCTTTGCCCACTGACTAACCCGGGGAGGCTCACACCACACCAGCCCAGGCTGGCAGGTGCCTCAGGGAGGGAGACTTGGGGCCAAGCCCTTGCTGGGGGCTCAGTCTCAGGCAGAGGGACACTCAGACCCATCCCAGTCACGGCAGCCAAGTCGAAGGAGCCCCCCCTGGCCTGAACACACAGCCTCAGCCAGAGCCAGAGCCCCAATCCGTTGCTTCCCTCCTTCCGGGTACAACAGCTCTCCCCACTGTGACTCCGCCTCCATCTCCAGGACCCTGAGCTTAAACTCAGCCTGTTCGCCCAGGTGTAAAGCTGGGAGGACCCGAGTCTGACCTTACAGCACCGTAGCGGGGAGGAACAAGATGCTGGCCACAGGCAGCTGACCAGGAAGCCTGGACATAGGCGCTGCTACAAGTCACCCCAGGCTCCGCGAGGGTCACTAACCTTCAGGGCACACTTCTGCCCGGTGCGCCGATGGAAGCACTCCAGCACCTTGCCGTTGACGCCCAGGCCCAGTACCTGCTTCGATAACTGGTAGTCGTCGGTCACCGCGTACTTCTTGGGCTCCCGCCGCCCCGCCAGGGCTGGCGCACCGCCCACGCCGGGTCCGCCGAGCGCCCCGGGGGGCAGCGCGGGGCCGCCCTGCTCCTCCGCGGTCTCGCCATCCATGGCCCGCCGGGCGCCCCGAAGCGCACCCAGCCTGGCGCGTGCAGCGCACCAGGGGAGGGAAAGGGTGACTCCCCTCCTGGCGTTCCCCAGCTCGCCCGGCGTCGGGGCCCCTGAACTGCACAGGGCCGCGGGCCCGGGACAAGCGCGGGGTGCGCCCGAACAGCCCCAAGTAAGGACGCGCGCGGGGGGCGGTGGCCCCGCGGCCCGGCACGTGCAGGGCACAGCCCGGG